CTCCTCCTCCTGTTTCTGCAGCTGCTAGCCACGACGACGACGATCACGACCACCACCATTACTCACTTTCTTACTTCCTTCCTTTTTGTCCGTCCTTCAGTCCTTCTGTTCTTTCTTCCTGCCCTGCCTTCCTTGCTTCCTTGATTGCTTCCTTGCTGACGACTACTGCTCCTGCTCCTGATCCTGATGCGGCTCCCGCCCCTGCCCCGGCTCTCGCCCCGCGGGGCGTCTCCGTTTTGTAGGATCAGTACTCTCGCTGCTCAACCGACAAGCTTCCTATGAGCGACAGCATTGAGTGGCTAACGCTGGGGTCGAGGATGGGAGTTACCGTAAGCTCAACGATTCCATGCTCAGCGCCCCGAATTATGTATGAGTTCATAAGACACACGACAAGCAACTTCTAAGCCCAGCAGCGAGGGCAAGAGCGGTTGCAAACGAAGGCCTCCTCCATCCTCAACCTGTGCCTGGAGATCTTCCCGTTTTATTGAAGCCATACACACCAATACTCTATTCAAATTGTTAAGGCCCCTTAAGCCCCTTAAGCCTTATAATACATTGCATCACTGGCTCTCTTCATCCTCCGCCAGCGTGCCCACAGTATCGATCTCCTCTCGCGTGGGCGGGTCACCTCTGCGGAAGCGGCTGAATGCTGGCTGTACGGCTCAGCTTGGCAATCGCAAGGTTATGGCCTAAACCCTAAACCCTAAACCCTAAGCCCTATGCCCTAAACCCTTATAGGTTTTTCCCTAAACCCTAAACCCTAAACCCTTCTGGGTTGTTCCCTAAACCCTAAACCCTAAGCCCTCTCTGCAGCTTTGAGATGATCGTGGGGAACCTCAAGTTGCCCACTACTGACACGGGTTTCGGCCTCAGTTTCAACCTTAGGCCGTGCACCCCCAAAGCCTGAAGCCTCTAAGCTCCAAACCCACCTCAAACTCTCGACCAGGCTGCTTTCCAGAGCTCTTGCCACATCTTTGGGCAGGTCGATGTCCATGATGGAGCTGACCTCAAAACTTGAAACCAGATAAACCCTAAACCCTAAACCCTAAACTCAAAACCCTAAACCCAAAACCCTAAACCCTAAACCCTAAACCCTAAACCCTAATGGTGATTGGCCTCTGGGCCTTCACCTTTCACATCTGGTTCGACTTGTTTGTTCAACCCGTCCTTTCGTCTTCTGAAAGGCTGCCGGAATCTTAGTTAGTCTCACTTTTCCCGTTCCATCCAGCGCGACTTGCGAATTGATTCTGTCGGAAGAAGTGCTTCTGGGAAGATGAAGTACTTAGGGGCTGAGTACCCTAGCCTAAATAGGGTTAACCTTTCAATTATGGTAAGATTGTATAAGCCCAAAAAGGTTAAAGGTTAGCTACTCAGCTACTAAGACTAAGGTGAGGTGAGCCGAGACCTTCTCGGCTTCTTGCATGATCTCTTCCATGGCTTGGGATTACCATGTCAAGTTCAACTCTTCCCCCTGTCTGAAGGAAAAAAAACCGTTCGAGGTTTACAGTCTGGGGAAAGGGGTAAGTTGGGGCTCGGCTTGGGAGTAAGGCTTGCAAGTTTGCACAGGCTTTGTGTCGAAGGCTTCCCAAGCTATGCTACACCTATGCTTGCGCTTGAAACGGGGTCAAGGCTTCGGAGTTGAGGGCAAGTGATGCTTCAGAGAACTTCAGAGTTCTGCCGCCATGCTGCCCAGCACGAGATCCTGGTGTCGTGCTCCAGCTTCAACCACCTGAGGTGTAAACCCTTCAATCGCGCATACACGCTGAGGCTGCTGGGTTCAGGGCGTAGCCTTTAGGATTTCGGGGCCTAGGGTGACGATTCGGGCGACAGTGAGAGTCCGAACTGTCGGCTGAGCTATCGGGTCCGACACTGACCAAGGTGTCAAGAAGCAAAGACTCCAACACACACACACACAGAGAGAGACACACAATCACACACACACACACTGTGCGGAGCCTCCAGAAGAAGGAAGGCTTCATACCCTCTGTACAAATCGTCGGGATGTGCCCACAGCGAATGTGACACCTGTAGTACACCGTCAATGGAGCAAGGGCATGACCATGGTAATCACCGTCACCATCATGAGCATCACGAACCGCATCATCCCCGTCGCCATCACTGTCCTCATCAGCATCATCATTATCATCTTCTTCTTCACGACAGTCATTACAGGAATTTGCTGTGCCGATGGAAACAATGGCAATTATGACGATGATGATGACGATGATGATGATGACGACGATGATGCTGATGCTGATGCTGCTGATGACTGAGTCCCATTGTCAGTCCGAGGCGTGCTGCCTCAAAACCTTCTCAATGTCAACCCTTCTGTTGCAAGGACTTCCTACACCCGAAACCCTAATCCTTACACTTCTGACTCATGGGAAACTCCCAGGCACTTCTCGGCCACCGCCCCTGCAGCCACCCGGCCAATAGTCTCGCCTGAGGGACTCCAATACCGGGACTTGGGCCACAGAGGGCCAAAACCCCAAAAACCCAGACACCCAAAACTCCTAAACCCTCACGGAACCCTAAACCGAAAAGCAGGGTTACTAGTTGCGGCTTTGGCATGAATCGGCTGCAATGCTACTATAGAATGTACCCTAAACCCTAAACCCTAAAGCTTTAAACCCCTTTTGCAACAGGCTTTCCGCTTCGCCCGGAGTTGGAGCAAGCAGCCCTAGCAGCTTCACTTTTAAAGCTCCTAAACCCTAAGCTTTAAGGTTTCGGGCTTGAGCTTTGAGACTGGCTTGGACAAGTCCAGGCGAGACTTTATTATTTTTCTCTCCTACGAAGCAAGGACGTTACAATCGGGTTTGGGGTTTCGGATTTAGGGACCATGTTATAGGGTTTACGCTTTCAGAATTCAGCCTAAGTCAGCAAAACCTCAGCTACAGTGCTTAGGGGCTTAGGGTTTATGGTTTAGGGCTGTAGGTGGAAAAACCGTGTTTCTAAAAAGGCACCTGCCCTGTCACACTAGGACTTCACAAGAATCGAGGGTTCAGACTCTGGCTGCTACATGCTGCAAACTCGCAAGACAGCACGCTCCGCAAGGGCACCCCATTTAGGAGTGCTGATAGGGTTTCGACTCTCACGCTCGCACTAGGCAGGCAAGGCTCCACACAAGATAGGGTTTAGGGTTTAGGGTTTACTGATAATAGGGTTTAGGGTTTCGGCGTTCACACTCGGACAATCCAGGCGAGGCAGGTGGTCTTGAGTCGGCGAGGTTCAAGGGACCCTAAACGCTAAACCCTAAAACCGTGTAGGGCTTAGGAGTCCTGATAATCGGGTTCTACACTAAAGTTTCCCGGTTCCTTGAAACCCGTAAATCCAACACTCGAGCTGCCGCAAGGAAACTATCGAAGCCCTTTTGCAACTGGCCAACAAAAACTCCTATCTAAGCCCTAAACTCGAGACCCGAAACTAAACTTTCGACCCGAAGCACTAAACTCCACCGAATGAAACAAGCCCGGGCCACGTGCAGACGCCCTGCCGCCCCCCGACGAGGCTCGCGTTCCGTACTTCACCTCTCCGGGACATTGCAGCCCGTCCGGCCGCTCAGGTTCAGGGTTCACGGTTTCGAGTGTGAGAGAGACTTCAGAGTCTAGAACTTTCCGTCGAACTTCCTAGGGTCCTTCCTGAAATTTCGGGGCTTCGGGCAAGGCTGGAAGACTGGGCATAGTTTTCGTGGTGCTCTTCAACTTCAGACTCGGTGGGATAGGTTCAAGCCTTAGGATTAGGATTCTTGACCCCAAACTTTCAAGGTCGCCGCAGGCCTCGTCGTCCACCCTCCCCTAAACCGCACACTCATCCACCCTGGACAAGGCCTGCCTGGAGAACCCAATACCCCTTAACTAACGAATATACCTCAAACCATAATATTAAGGCCCCTATAATTTAAGGTATATTCCTTAATTACGGGGCATTGGGCTCCCTGGGTGCCTGGTAGGTGTAATCCGCATGGCCAGGCCGCGGTGCTGCTGATGTGTTGGCGTAGTCGAATTTCCTCTGATCCTCCGAAAAACCCCAAACCCTATAAACCCTATAAACCTTACAAGCCCTATAAACCCTAAACCCTAAACCCCCTAAACCCAAAAAGGGGGCCTAGGGATTCCTAGGTTCACCTGATCTCTTGTGACTCGTGCTACTACTGTTCTGTTAGGATTTAGGGTTGAGGTCAGGCTCAGGCGCAGCACGCTACTGTCTTCGTCACCTGCCCACGGGAAAACACCTGCAGTCCAGGTACTCAAGGGTTGAAGCTCGAGCACGGCGATCACTAAACCCTGCACCCTGACCCCTAAGCTGCCCCGTGGCACCAACCCTAAGCCCTAAACCCCCGAGGCCCGACTTAGTTTTCAGGGCTTCGTCGGAAACTCGAAGCTCCGCTTTGCAGGATCCTTGTCAACCCTCACCCCTGAAACCCGAGACCCGAGCCCTGAAAGGTAAAGATCACAAGGGAGGTCTGTCGTTCGTTTCTCCTGGTTGCGGACCATCATCGCAATTGGAGTGCCCAAAGTCATGCCATTCTCCTCAGACGGAAGGAACTTCAGCTTGGGCTTTAGAAGTTCATACTTAGGTGAGGACGCGTGGCCTCACAAACAAAGCCACTTGGCTTCACGCTTGCAGCACCAGGGCAACCTTCACAGCAAATTGTTTTCCGCCATCGCTGCATGAAGCGAAACCCTCTTCACACACACAACGCATCGGCTGCCACTCAATGTACCGAAGTGTTTTGGAATCTGCGGCGAAACCTCCCATCAACTTGGTGACCCTAGCTTGCCCACGCCACAACTCCAAATGTCTCCGATTTCATGAAAAGTTACGTGGCTGTACAGACAGAGCAGGCCCACAGCCGTGGGCAGCTCGATTGACCCAAGCTGAAACGTAAAGGCTAAAGCTATGGCTGCTTCCACGCCGTTGTTGCAGGCATGCCGCAGCTGCATCTGCATGTAGAGATGCACTTGGACCAAAACTTTCATTCGTTCGTCCCCACCACCCACTTACAACCGTGCTTGGCCAGCGCCGGACTTCTTGAGCCCCTCCAACTCCTCCTTCAGCCTCAGTTCAGGGTTTCGGGTGGTGGGGTTTACAATCTAGGCTTCACGGTGTAGGGTTCGGAGCTTTGGGTGTCGCCTTTCGGGTTAAGGGCTTTGGGTTTCGCCTTTTGGGT